GTCTTTAGTATTACTACTCTGTGAGGATCTTTGCTGGGCAGGAGCCGTCTGGTGTTTGGGTTGGCTGGGTCACTCCTGATTACCACATGTATGATCAAAACTTTGACCTCTCCAAGGTCCGCAGTGTCACTGTCACAGTGGGAGATGACAGAGGCAACATACATGACAGGTTAGTTTTTTTCGTGCGTAAATTTTTATTATTGCTGGCCAAGCATTGAGGTAAACGTATAAATATATTTTTTTATGTATTATTTATTTAATCTTAATTGAATCTAATGACATTTAGGCTAGATTTGTTTATTTAAATGCTGTGGAAGTAAAGACAAACAACACTAAGAAATTACAAATTAAATATGCCTTCATATTAATTTGCCATTGCACCTAAATGAATAAAGGGACCCATCAAGCTTATTTCCAGCTCCATATTTTTGTTCTGGGACTTCATTAGAGCAGCTTTACATGATTTACAGTGGAAAAAAAAATTATGCATCTTACTTACTTTGAGATGCAGCCTCTCAGTTCATTATCTGTTTAAGCTCGTGTCTATTTAAGACCCCCTCATGCTAATTGCCCACTTTTGCATGACATGCTGTTCCTCGCCAGGCTGCTGCAAAAAGTCAATTTCTTATTCTTAAAAAACTCATATTTTGTACAAAATACAATCATGAGGTTACTTTTACATATGCTGAACTCATTATTTGAAGCTCTATTCATATTCACAGTGTATGACAGAAAATAAAATAAAGAAAATACAATTCAAAGTTAGTTAGGGTTCTATTTTGCTTACATCTACTTCTTTTATTTGGTTTGTTAGTTACTGTAAAGAATTTGGATCAGCTGCAGTATTTCAATTGAGACAGATGAGTTTAACTGGAGTGAGTTTCATTGCAGCTGTGTTTCTTGCTCATTCTTTGCAGCATGAAGCACAGTAATTGTTACATGGTGTGGGGAGGGGACCTGGTCAGCAATCAACAGACCCGCTTTAGCCAGGAGGACATGGTGATTGGCTGCCTTGTTGATCTGGCAACAGGTCTAATGACTTTTACGGCAAATGGAAAGGAGATTAATACTTTCTACCAGGTAAGGGAAAGTCAAATAGATTTATCTGTGTCTTTTATTATTTGCTTTAAATGTATCCTGATGAGCTATGTGACAACGCTACATTCTGTCAGGTGGAGCCGAACACCAAACTCTTCCCTGCAGTTTTCGTTCAGCCGTTCAGTCAGAACATGGTGCAGCTAGAGTTGGGCAAACTCAAGGTCAGATGGAACGATTATCACTCTTTTTTGCAGCTGCCTTTTCTTAAAGTGTCACCAATTTAGAAATGTATGGTAATGTAAGTCAGACCCACGTTGGTGGTCTTTGGGAGTGGAGCACGGTCCAATCTTGCATTGTAATTCTCCTACTTATCTCTTTTAATATTGGACCAGATGTTGTCCATCATTTATTAATGATGATGTTTGGTGTTTTTAATAAAATGAACCACTATTTTTTTACCCGTACCTTCACATCTGAATTTCTGTATTTTTCAAATCTAGTTGAATTTATTTTTTCCTTCAAATGACAGTAAACTCACCTCTGCTGTATCTCTCATATCAGAACATCATGCCTATCTCAGCTGCGATGTTCCGCAGTGAACGTAACAATCCAGTCCCTCAGTGCCCCCCGAGGCTGGATGTCCAGATGCTGACGCCAGTTATCTGGAGTCGTATGCCAAATCACTTCCTCAAACCAGAGGTGGGCAAAGTAAATGAGCGGTTAGGCTGGATGGTGGAGTGTGTTGAACCTCTCATCATGATGGCACTGCACATCCCAGAGGAGAACAGGTCAGAAACAGAATGTCGATGCAGAAAACTCTTAAGTTTAGAGTTTTCATATAGAGTTTATGACATTCCTGCTATAAATAATTGAGATAGCAGCAGATCAGCAACATCTTTTAGCTTTATCATTGCAAATGTCAGTTACTTGTTATACCCGATGTATGTAGAGATGTCATAGGAAGAAGCTATTTTCTTTTTTTCCGCATTAAGAGAGCTGAAAACCAAAAAATACATTTTTTAATCATGAGAGTGTGATTTAAGAAAGGGAAGGTAAATATATAGAGCGATTAACATGTAGTTATTACAAAAGATTTGTCATGATCATATAATGCATACAATGCAATGAAGTTGACTTTTTTTTCCACAGATGTATTGATATCCTGGAGCTGTCAGAGCGTCAGGATCTGATGAAGTTCCACTATCATACACTCATGCTCTACTGTGCTGTGTGCGCACTTGGGAACAACCGAGTGGCTCATGCATTATGCAGTCATGTGGATGAATCCCAGCTTTTCTATGCTATTGAGAACACCTACCTACCTGGACCTCTTCGCAGCGGCTTCTATGATCTGCTTATCAGCATTCATCTGGAATCAGCAAAACGGGCACGCTTGGGAACCAACAGGGAATTCATCGTTCCCATGACCGAAGAGACCCTCAGCATCAAGCTCTATCCTGATGCAATAAAAGCCCACTCCTTACCTGGCGTTGGTCTCACTACCTGCTTACGGCCAAAGCTGCATTTCTCATCCATCAACTTTGTTGGCACAGACCCTGATTTGTACACCATTAGTCCTGTCTTTCCTCTACAGGTAAGAAACAGGAGACAAGGTGCATTAAATCAAAAATCGTAAATGTTTTCTGCCTTTACTTACTTGTTATTTTGCTTCTGTAGGAGCTGAAAACAAAGGCGATTAACATGTTACGAGAGGCTGTGCTGGATGGTAGCCAGGCCATGCGGGATCCAGTAGGAGGCAGTGTAGAGTTCCACTTTGTCCCAATCTTGAAGCTAATCAGTACACTGCTTATTATGGGCATCTTCAATAATGATGACACCAAGCACATTCTCAAGATGATCGATCCCAATGTTTTCAGTGGAAAGGAAGAGGAGGAAGCTGAAGAGGGTGGAGCTGCTGAAGGAGAAAATGAGGAAAAGAAGGAGGAGGAATCGGAAGAAGCAGCCGAAGACGAGCTTGAGGATGAAGGGGTCGGGGATGAGGAAGAGGAGGAGCTGAAAGAGCTGGAGAAACGAGAGGGTGAGGAGGAAGAGGCTGAGCCCAAGGAAGAAGGAGAAGAGGAGGAAAAGGACAAAGAAGAGGCTAAGAGAGAAAAAGTAGATGGAGAGAAAGCAGAGGAAGAGAAGGAGTCAGAGGCAGTGGAAGCAGAAGCACAGGAGGAAGACGAGGGTCTGGAGGAAGGACTGCTACAGATGACGCTGCCAGAGTCTGTCAAACTGCAGGTCATTGTGATGTTTAAACTCTGACTGCTTTACAGTTTTACAACCGATGTGGATAATTGTGTCAGAGGATCTCATATCATAAA